CTTCCATGGAAACTCCACTGTGCACTTCCAGTGTCACCAAAACACAGACGTCATCTTCCTCCACAGCCTTGGGCTGAAGGTTTCCTCTCCACGCGTAATTAATAAAGACACAAAGAAGGAGATGAAAGTCATCTCACTCACACACCAGGAAAATGGTACTGACTTCTTGGTGATTCAAATAGAAAACTTCTTTAAGAGGAACGGGAACTACAGTTTATTTCTGGCGTTTAAGGGAGAAATATCGGAATATCTTGATGCATTTTATGTAAGCAGATATGCTGAATTTAACACCGAGGCTGAAAATGTAACCATAGAGGAAAGGTAAGTACTCTTAAACAATCTGTATAACACCTTTTAGACTTTTCTGACTGATAAACTACATGGACAGAACAGGAGGAGGTAGAATGAAAAACATCTAAAGGGAGAAACAAAGAAAAACAAAAACATTATTTTAAGAGTTCAACTCAAAAAATGTATGTTTTCCTGAATTGATTTCATGTTTTGACAAAACAGAGATTTCAAGATAGTAAACCAGTTAAAGGGTAGAATGTCATTTTTCTTATTTAGTTTATCATACACAGGAATTTTACTGAAAAGACAGTATCTATTATTCAATCATAATTTTTCTGCTAAAATGATGAATGTGACTAATTATTTTTTTAATACTTTATTGAAAATGGATGTTAAATATTACTTAAACTGCTGTTAAAAGCACTAAGGCTTCTTCTACTCAATCTTTTTTTCCCTAAAATCATAATGGAACTGAAATGGCAGAACAGAAACAAATTATGTTAAAGTGGAATTATTACTAAAATATAGTGATCAGAGAAATGTGACAATTGACTGAGGTTTTTAGGAGATCTCAAAACTAAATAACCTTAAAATATCAGTCCACATTTATTTTATTCTACATGTTTTATATTCTTATTTTATTTAATATCAATAAAATACAAAACAGCCTTAAATCTTGGAGTAAAAAGTTGACATTTTGTCTTATTGGGTTTTAGACTTCAGCCAAGTATCTCAGTATGATGCAAAATGCATCTCTGTTTGTTTCTCTTTTTGTATGTGTGTACCTGCTGATTTTAACACAGCTTGGTCATATTTTTTGTTCATAGATTTCTTGCAGCCACAGATCTGGAACCAACAGGAGCAAGACAAATATTTCCATGTTTCGATGAACCAGACATGAAGGCTGTTTTTCAGTTGAAAGTCATCCATAGACGTAAAACAAAGGCTCTGGCAAACGCAGAAGGAAAAGGTAGAAATATAGACGACGAAATCCTTATGTTTGGGTTTGAGACAGTAACTGATAATATTCCATATAATTTTCTGTTTCAGCACCCATAATTCTAAACGATGAGTGGCAAATGACCCTTTTTGAGGACACACCAAAGATGTCGAGCTATTTATTTGCCTTCACAGTCTCAGAGTTTGAAGATTTTGCCAAATTCTATTATCACCGTGTGGATATCAAAGTATGTTTGTTCTTCTAGGTTTAAAGCATATCTTTTTTTAATCTGGAATGTAGGTCCCTCTTCATTAATTGGTTAATTTAGGTTTTCTTAAAAAAGTGGATGTTTAGCACATCTTTAAGCCTCACATCCAAAATCGAATTAATTAACATCAGACATAACATGTGGACCAAGTTCATGTGACAGGAGCAGGAAAAAAACGACTTATGCTTGTTGGACAAGGTTGGTACATTCTGATGGTTAGATGACCAAGCTGGAGCATTTCTAGCTCTCAGTCCAATAAGATATCTGCTGAATGTGCTTGGCATACAAGCCCAAGCTAACAATTGAGAGGACGTTTCAGATCGTCTACCAGTCTCTTGGTGCCAGATACCAGAGTTAACCTTCAAAGGGCTTATGAGTCCCATCCCTCTGTGGGTCATGGCTTGTTTGGCACTAAAATACAGACTAATTTAGGATTAGAAGAGAGGTCATTATGTTATGCCTGGTTGGTTTTCTTTGTAAAGTCTTGTTTCATGTATTGAGAGGATGTCTTGGTAAATCAAATTTTCCTCATGCAGACCTATGCCCGTCCCGAAGCTATAAAGGCACACCATGCTGATTATGCCGCCAAAATTACTGCTAAGATCCTGGATTTCTACGAAAAGCATTTGGATCAGGAGTATGGAATGAGAAAACTAGGTAAGACTTCAGCACACAAATTTATACTTTGGTTGCCAAACATCAAAAACTTGACATTTTATTTGTTTTCTTAAAATAAGTACGTTTTCTTTTTTAATCATTTTCATTTTAAAAAAGACAAACTTAGCTAATGGACAAGCATTAAATAATTCAAACAATATTTTTTAAGGGAGTACAATATAGTTAGTGAACCTTTTTTACATGGACCACCGTTTTTGCTGTTATGAAGCGTCCGCTAACCTATCAGATCTGCTAATTGTTCTTTTTTTCATTATGGCTATTTAGTTGATTTCAAAAGAAATCATCTTGCCAACAGATAAAATAAACATTTAACAATCTTAATGTTCTTTTTCAAATAAAAAGCTGTTTTTTTTTACTGTTTGTCAAGCAGGTTTTTACTCCTCTAATTTAATGTAACTGTTAAAATAGATATATTTTAGATTCCTAAATTTAAAGTTACAACAGTTAAATTATTTTGTGTCTTTCTAACTCTTTAGTAGTAATTCTGACTATATTTAAGGATAAGAATTCAATCACGTTTGAAGGGAATAAGCCTGTTTGCATAGTCATAGTTCTTATCACCTTTATTAAAATCCTAATAAATAACCCAGGCCTTGCCCTCAATAACAAACCGCCAAAAGCAGGCGCCTGTTTGTAGTCCAACTTTATGATTTTGCTATAATTGTTCTTTCTTTTCAATAGATCAAATTGCTCTGCCAGACTTGAATTTTGCAGCAATGGAGAACTGGGGTCTGATTACGTATCAGGAACCCGCTCTGCTCTATGTGGAAGGAGTCTCCTCATTGTTGCAAAAGGAAGCAATCGCTGAAATTATAGCTCATGAGTTGGCACACCAGGTAAGAGGGGAAAAATCTGTTTCCTGCTTCCTGGAATGACTCAGATATGATTCAAAACTCTCCGAGCCTTATCTACCGGCAGGTTAATAATGGAGAAAAATAAGTCTGAAAAC